GATATATACATCCAAAGTGTCGTATAGTCAGTACAATGTGAGATATTAACCCTTTGAAGTCCGCACCAAGAAAAAAGTGATGGAATTATTTTTTTGTTTGCATTTCTTATCTTCTTATGTCGCTAGTAACCACACTCAATGCATTTTTTTTTCAACACATCCCATAATTTTTCAAATATCGGTCTCTACCAAATGGTTGAGATGTCACTTAATGGTAATAAATGGTAGCGGAATTCATACACATACTTTGCCATACTTTTTCATTGCCCATCATATTACGATCAAAACCTTTTTCTAGTCTTGACAAAACACATTTTTAGAAAGATCTGAGTCTAAGGTTCATATTTTGTAACAGAAGTGATATTTGGACAGAAATTTATTAATTTGTTACAGCACAATGCATACAATTAAATTCAATGGAATTTATGTCATTTTTGGTACTACGCCTAAACAAAATCTCATGAGAACTTCAATTTTTGTGATATCAACTTCAAATTTGGAACACAACTTGGTTAGATATATGGCTTTGATTTTATAGTAGTTTTATAGGGAAAAATATTTTGTAAAAATATATTTTATATAAAAGAAAAAATATTTAGCACAGTATATTTGAGTTAATGTAAACTTAAAACTTCCATAACTTTTTCATACTTTTATTTTTATTTTTTTTGAAGTGCTTTTTCTTCAGCAATAATCAGCATTGTTTTTTTTTTTGTTTTTTTTATTAAAACAAAACTAAACTTAGGTCTTTATTCCAAAGCATACTTGAATTACAACCAAGTTTTAATAGTGCATTGTAATGTCCATTCTCAAAAAGCGGGGTGACAGTTACCGTTATGTGCCAAATCAACCGTTTGGTTGAGCATGTTTTTGAAAAATTATTAAAAAACATACTTACGTTTTTTCATAGCACCAAGTAACATCATTTTGTAAAGTTAAAGGGTTAAACAGATTAATACTCTAAACTTCTATTAACTTTAAATAACTACATGTCAACTAGCAGTCGTTAAAGTGGAGTATCGAAATAAAGTATTGCCAAATACTGTGAAATGCAAACTCAAAATAGTATGCATACCCACAATACTTAAATATGGTAAATTACACAAATATACTTTATTAACCAGCGTCTTTGCTGTTGATTTTCAATGATTCAATTCAAATGTACAAATAAGCAAAGATGACTTTAGATAAACATTGCATTTGTTTATTATTTATTTATTCGCAAAAGTAAGAGTGTTAAACTTCTGCGTCATCTTCTCTGATCCAGAATGGCAGAACATCTAAAAGGTTTGTTTGAGCGGCGCCCTCTACTGTACAGGAGTGAATATGCGTTTCCTTCAGCCTGAGGCTTATTTATTTCACTTTTGCTGTGAAAGGGCATTTACATTTGCTACACATAACTTGTTTTGTTATTAAAAAACAAGCAAATAAGTAACGCAATAAGTTAATGCTTGAGGGACTAACACAATATTGTAATGCATTACTTTAATATTAACTTTCCCCAACACTACCTTTTGGATGATACTGGGCCAGTGAATTTTTTAATTTGAAACAAATTAAAATAAAAAACAGTAATCAGTAGTTAATATACAATTATTCTAAATGCATTGGCGAATGTTTTTGTAGGCATAGTGTTTTTGATCTGAATAGTCCCAATCATGTACAAAACTGACAAGCAATCTTTCATCAGCTGTTCAATCTTGGGCCATTACAATGCACTTTTCCTTTGAGCAAGATAGATGTGCCAGGGCCTAGACCTTGTAGCACACACACACACAGTTTGCAACCAAATGAAAGACGACTCCCTGCACTGTTGCTTGACGCAGACATTTGGATTCCCACCCCATTCCACAGTGGAATATAGGGCTCTATTTATAGAGCTGGTGGAGCCCGTGGCCCCGAGCTCGGCAGAACACACTCATTAAAACCGCTTTCCCTAGTACACTTCAACTCGAAGCCCAGTGCCAGTGTGTGTGTGAGAGTGGAAACAGTGCTAGAGAGAGAGAGCTAGAGTTCTAAAGGTAATCCGTGATAAAAGTTGTCTGAAGAAATTGGGAACCTACGGAGACCATCTCATGTGGGATATTTACGGGAGCTTGATCGTCTTCTGTATTATGAAGAGACGCTTCGGCTGTAGCAGGTGACATTCGACTCGCAGGGAACTTTCTGCATAGACTTTCTCAACTGAGAAACGCCAAGAGAAGACCTGCGGGAAGAAGGTGACTATGTTACGACTCCAGCTCTAAGGGAGCCGTTTGAATTTGATTGATTGGATTTGGAACTTTGGAACTTTGGAAGTAAATAACAGCGATGATTTGATTTGAATTTAAAAGACAATTCTCTTGTGCTCAAACTGTTGCTTTGCAATATTTTCCTCGTCTTTCTTTTGGTGATCTAAAAGTACTGTCCGTTCACATCCAGAGTTTCAGCTGTAATCTGATCCCACACACTCAGTAATTATAAAGCAGGGCTGGGAAGCAGTACTGGAGATTTGTCATTAAGGCACCCTAAATAAAGACTCAGGCAAAAGGGTGAGGTTTGTGGATTTCGGTCATCAAGATCCACCTAAAAACGGCTCATGGACCCCCAAGGTGGTCATTACCTAAACAAGGCAGCGGTGCTGTCCGGACTCGGCGCTGCCCGAATGATCCAGCTTCTCCTGGGCTGCACCACGATGGCCCTGGTGGCCCACAGCGCGGGATTCAGCGCCACCTACGGCACCTTCTGCATGTTCGTCTGGTGCTTCTGCTTCGCCGTCACACTGTTGGTCTTCACCCTGGACGTGACGAGGCTTCATGGGTGCATGCTTATCTCCTGGGACAACTTCACCGTGGCCTTCGCCATGCTCGCCACTCTCATGTACATCACAGCGTCGATAGTGTATCCCGTGTACTTTCTACGATCCGAGTGCCCATCCGAGGGATGCGAGGTGAGGAACTACCGAATCGCGGTCACCGTTTGCTCAAGCGTCTGTTGCTTCGCCTACGGAGCCGAGGTGTTTATCACACGGGCCAAACCGGGGCATGTGGTCGGATACATGGCCACCGTATCCGGCTTGCTTAAAGTGGTCCAAGCCTTCATAGCCTGCATTATCTTCGGCGCCCTGGCCAACGACAGCGAGTACAACCGGCACATCCCGACCCAATATTGCGTGGTCGTCTACAGCCTGTGCTTCGCCGTGACCGTAGTCGTCGTTGCGCTCACCGTTTCTGGAGGACGTCTTCGTTACGCTTCCCTTTCGACCGCTTCGTGGTCGTCTACACCTTCCTGGCGGTGCTTTTGTATCTGAGCGCTGCCGTGATCTGGCCGGTGTTCAGTTTCGATAAGAAGTACGGAACCCCCGGGAGAGACCGGGAGACTGTCCGAGAGGGAAGTGCCCTTGGGACAGCAAGTTGGTGATCGCCGTGTTCACCAGTGCCAATCTGGTGCTGTACGTCACCGATCTGGTGTACTCTCAAAGAATACGGTTTGTCTCGCATTCATCAGCATAAAGCCATCCTTTCTCCAATCCGGTGGATTTATGAATACCGGCAATTAGTTAAATACAGACATGCCAATAAACAGCTGTGTGTACTAGTATCATTTTTTTTTGGTCATTTTTGTTATTTAGAATTAAAATGTTTGGACTTTCGAACTGCTGGGATTGAATTTTTCATTGTGTTAATGAATAGTTACTTTGCTTAGTAGATTCGTTGCATACTGATGTAGAAATAACTTCTGTGCCAATGCCTCTCTGCAATTTATTGTCACTGTAATGCTAAAACAAGGGTGTCCATCCAAAGACCAGGTCCTGGAGAGTTTAGCTGTAATCAGCTCCAACACACTTGCCTGGATGAGTCTGAACACAGATATCAATAATACAGGCTAGATGTCGTACGGCAGAGTCTCTATCGTCATCACCGGCCAGCGCAGTCTCACCCCAAAAAGTCATATAACTGACGTTTTGGGACGTCTTTTGACCATACGTCAATATTCGCCTTTTTAGGGCCCCCTTAAACGTCGGTAGATGAGGTTATGGGATCCCAACTCTACCCCAGACCTAAATCTAACCCTAAACCTAACCCGTCACCTAACTGACGTTAAAGGTAAAGCGTCAGTTGTATGACGGCCCGGGATCGCCATCTACCGACGTTTAAGGGGGCCCTAAAAAGGCGGATATTGACGTATGGTCAAAAGACGTCCCAAAACGTCAGTTATATGACTTTTTGGGATGAGAATGTGTTGCACCGGCGGCCATCTTGTCACAGGCAAGCTGATGTGAGATGAGTGATCAGTACGAACACAAATACTCTTATCTCGTTGAAATCTTGACGGATTTACAACAGTTTGGTTTCTTACAAACGTTTTTAATGTGGCTATAATTCTGGATGATTATTTATTGAAACACTTATTATTCATAAGTGTGCAGTGTTATAACTCTCTGACGTATGTAACAAACCAAACCATTTGAAAATCAGTAAAAAATTTAGAAAGTCATGGTTATTTAAAAAGTACATGCACCATTAAAACACAATGTTACGAGTGAGCGTCGCAAGCTGCCTGTGACAAGATGGCCGCCAGGTGCGGACGTCGACCTCCATTGGCTAGAAGCGCGGACGAGACATCTAGCCTTTATTATGGATATCAATGAGTCTGAAGACCATCATTCTGCTTCTTCTTTTAGTTTTATAGTGGATTGCATCCACAACTTTTCAGGTGCATACCGCCACCTACTGTACCGGAGGATGCGATATGGGTAACACTTCAATAATCTACTTTTCTTGTAAAAAAATAAAAAATAAAAAAATAAATCTTTCCTATACAACTATTTTAATATTGCATATATATTTATATCCCTAGATCTTATGATATACCCCTATACTCCACAACATCATTCTGTGTATCCCTCTCCTGATGTTCCCAATACACCCTCAAGGTTTTACTGCCTTCCCGCCTGACTAATCTTTTGTTTTAATTGATTAATCTCTTCTCTATATTTCTTACAATGTATGTAACTGTGTATGCTCTGCATTTTCTGTAATGTTGCACTCCAAACATTCATCTGATTGACTTTTACCTAACACAGCCAATGTTTTATGACCTCAGTCTGGTTCTCCTCCCTTCGGTTCCTGCTGATCACACCCTGTGTATTGATTTGTGTATGATGATATTTGAAGACCATCATTGGCTGGTTCAGGTTTGTTTAATTAGGGTTGGAGCTGAACTCTGCAGGACATTGGCGCTCCAGGGCTGCGTTTACACTAATACATTTTCATTTTAAAACGCATCTTTTTCTACCCATTTTCACCTTTTGTCCACTCTGAGACAGCGTTAGCAATAAAAACAGAGCTTTTTGAAAACGCTCTCCAAAGTGGATCCATTTGAATTTTTGATGCATGTTTAGTCATGTGTCGCAAATTTTGTGCTATTCACTTTCACACATACAGTTGGTTAAAATATGTTTCTTTGCACACTCTTCATATCACAGTGCTGCAACGATGATAGAAAATGTATTTGCTGTCCTGCAGAAAAACACGAGAGCAGACGCGATTTAGACCCATCATGTAATGGGTGAGTGTGACCTGGACTAAATGTGTGACATTTTGCTAAATAAAATGATCCTGTCACAAGTGCAATAACTATTATTTCTTTTTCCATCTGTATCATCTCAGTGAGCTTTTACGCATGCCCTGTAAAGATGAATTTAGCATTTTTACTGTTTTTATGTGGATGAGAAACTTGGGAAACACCTGAAAACGCTCGTGTGGACGGAGAGTTTTTTTTAAGTGTATCTGGATTAATGTAGACGTAGCATGAGTCCATAAGTCTTTTTATGCCCTGTCCTTGCTAAAATCCCTCTTGTTCCAGCATTGTTTACATTGCAAAAGTGCACACTAAGCCCTTTGATCACTTGTGGGAATATTAAATGAGCACTTGCTGTTGTGACGTCACAATCGTGTGGTATTATGGTCTATGGATCCGTCTGAAGTGTGTGTATTGAGCAGACTCACTCCCTCGGACAAAATCAAGTTGTCCAAATAAACTCCCCTCATCAGGGAAGTGTGTGTAATAGTGGAGTTAAACGCAGCCCAGGAGCAGGTTTGGACACCTAAAAGGTTTAGTGTCGTCCTAAAGCTGCATGACTTTTTTTTCTTCTTCTTCTGAGGAATATAGACCATTTCACAAGATGTAAACAACACTGGTCCAGAAGCACTTCCTGTTTCAGTTTTTTAACACTACATAAAAGCTGGGATAAAATACAACCAACAGAACATTTAAAACTGAATCAAAAAGTTAAACAAACATCTTTAAGATGTTTTCTTTACATGTGAAATAAAGAAAACAGTTACAAACTGAAACAGGAAGTGCTTCTGGACCAGTGTTGTTTACATCTTGCAAAATGGTCTATAAAACAAGATATTTTGAATAAGGTCAGTAACCAAAATATCTTCTTTTATGTTCCACAGAAGGTCATACAGTTTTGGACCGGCTTTAATTATGAAATTACGAAATTATGAATTCTTTTTGGGATGAACTATCTCTTTAAAACTTTAAGATTGTTGGATTTGTACGGTTATTATATGGCTTACTAAAAGTAAAATTAATGTGTATTTTCCTCTAATTTATGTATGTATACTGTTAAATGTTATTATAATTATTGTTATTATTTGATTTCTTTTATGGCAATGTCTAAGCCTGAGATAACTGAAACCTCTGATTAGAAAAAGGGAATATATGATATCACTTCTTTATGTATTGTCCATAGAGATTAAATACCATGTCAAGTTTTTTCATGAATGGCCTTAGTTGTCGTGGTGCTCAGATCTAGTCAATCTACTCAGGCTTCAATATAAGTACAGTTTGTCTTTTTATAGTATTTAACAATATATTGTTACTAATTCACAACATAGGCTATTTAAATAAATCAAAATATGTTGGTAATTAAACTAGATTGTTTTGTGTCTATCAGTTTCTTTCTCTTTCTCAACACCTCCAAATACAGCACACAAAAATGAACATTCATATAAATAAAAGACAGTTTCTGTACAAATATGTGTGAGTGGGTGCACTGTAAAAACTATGGGCGTTAACTTAAAAAAGTAAGTAACCTGGTTGCCTTAAAAGCGGCCGAGTTAATGAGACCGATTTAAGAGTTCATTGAAAATAAAAACACAATCGAGGAGATTGGTTTAATCAACAGAAACTATTTTTGTTGTCTGAACCACATTAATTATCTAAGTTGATTTGACAAAAGAAAAAACAATTGTGATAAATCATGAAAATAATGTAAACTATTATTTTCATGATTTATCACAACTTTTTTTTTCTCCTTTGGTGGTTATAACCTATACTTTTATGAAAATGTTAATTTATATGTCCTAAGTATAGCTAAATCTGAAGAAGAGATCATTTTATTTGGGGTAAAGGTTTATAAATGGAAAGAGTTTTAAATTAGGCTTTTGTGGTAATGATTATATTTAGCTTCAAACGAAAACAGACTCTAATTTAAAGTCTCTAATAAAGAAAGATATCGGTAGGCAAAAAGAGAGCAAGAAAATAGTTTTGACATATACATATCAATGAAATGTAAAAATCCAAAATAAGAAATCTGTTGAATTTATCAAACAAAATACAAATACACATGGATACAGAACTGCCGTTGACTTTAGCCCACGTGCTCATAAAAGTGACGCAACAGCATTCTGTCAGCAGAGCTGGCCTATCATGACGCACGGTGCACACATAAAGTACAGGGATTGGCTGAGGCACGAGCAGTGCTCTACCGTGATTGGTCAGAGCCTTCTACTACTCCACGTCATGAATGGTAGTTTAACTAAACGACAACAGACAACGTGAACACGATAAACAAACGTGAAACAAACTAAATATATGTGAACCAGCTCTTCAAAAGATCGTGTTCTAGGTACGTTTCTTCAAATATTAAGCTGTCTGTATTCCTCTCGTTGTCTGTGCTGCGTCAAAGCTGGTTCAGTCCGACCAGGAAATAGAAAAGTGTTAAGCAGGCAGACTCTGTCCTGATATTACCTCAGCTGAACTATATTAGAGTCTGAATAATACTATAATGAGTGTTAACTTGTGTATGCCGGTGAATGCAGGCATCATCTTGTTGTTAGCAGGTCAAAATGAGCGTTGGTTTCATCGGAGCGGGTCAGTTGGCGCATGCGCTGGTGAAGGGCTTCACAGTGGCAGGTAACATTATAGCATTGCACACACCGACCGCTAGAGGCGCCAAAACACTAATGATCTGGAACAAAATAAGACTTTTCTGTGTCTAAAGCAGGCATCATTTTATTAAATAAGCATATAACAATATACACTACCATGCAAAAATAAGTTTGTGGTCAGTCATATTTTTTCTTTATTTTTTTTAAATAAATGAATACTTGAATATTCATCAAGGATGTGTTAAATTGATACAAAGTGATAGTAAACAATTAATTTTGTTAAAAAAATTCTGTTTTGAATAAATGCTGTTTTTTTATTACTTTTTATTCAGTAGAAAATCCAGAAAAAAAGTATCATAAGTTATACAAATATTTTAAAGGAGTAGTTCACTTTTGAAAAAAACTTTTGCTGATAATTTACTCACCCCCATGTCATCCAAGATGTCCATGTCTTTCTTTCTTCAGTCGAAAAGAAATTAAGGTTTTTGATGAAAACATTCCAGGATTTTTCTCCATATAATGGACTTCAATGGGAACCAAACGGTTCAAAGTCCAAAAGACAGTTTCAGTACAAACTGCAAACTGTTCAAAGGGCTTTAAACGATTTCAGACGATGAATAAGGGTCTTATCAAGCGAATCGATCACTCATTTTAAAAAGTAAATAACAAAGTTTAATTTTTATCAGCTCAAATGCTCGCCTTGCTCTGTTCTGTGATGCACGTGTGTGACTCTTCTGTTCAAACTCATTCATCAAAAGGAACAAATCTTTTTCCGAGTCAACGAACGAAACGAACGAATTGACTCTGGAAAAAGTGAACTACTCCTTTAAGCAGCACAACTGTTTGTTTCCAACATTGATACAAAAAAAAATCTAAAATAAAAGATTTAATGCTGATGAAAATTAAGCTTTTCATCACAGAAATCAAGTATATTTTAAAGTATATTAAAATAGATGACCATTTTATTTTAAATTGAACTCATTTTTCACAGTATTACTTAGTATCTGCAGTTTTGATCAAATAAATGCAGTCTTGATGTGCATAAGATACTTCTTTCAAAAGCATTAAAAATAGTAATGTGTCCAAACTTAATTTGACCGTTCCCCTCTCCTGTCCATCAGGTGTGATCGCCACGCACAGGATAACAGCTAGCTCTCCAGACAAAGACCTGCTGACCGTCGCCGGGCTAAGAGTGAGTTTTTCATAACCTTCTGAGCCACAAACAATAGCAGCGAGTTACACCGTTGACCATCTTAAAAAAGCCACTTTCTCTGTACTTCAGAAAATGGGAGCATCCTTCACGACTAGCAATAAAGAGACTGTGGAGAAGAGCGATGTCCTGTTCCTCGCGGTCAAGCCACACATCATTCCCTTCGTTCTGGATGAGATCGGGCCAGACATCGAGGACCGGCATCTCATAGTCTCTTGTGCAGCGGGAGTCACGATCAGCTCCATAGAGAAGGTCAGAAAGCTCTCGATCCACGAGCCGAAGTGACGATGCTTTAAAGGGGACATTTCATGCAAAATCCACTTTTTTAGCCCTTAAATGCATTTTGTTGTATATTTGGAGTGTTTATAAGTACAGAAAAGATGAAATTATTCTCTTCAGGTGCTTCGTTTATATCTTTATATTCTATTTTGGTCATATTTTCAGATTTTTCTGTTCTCTACGACGTTTTTTGAGTAAGTGCGTCACCGTATTTGCAGCGGAACTGCCAAATAAGGACATTGACTACAACACTTCGAGCAATCCGCCTGTTGAGGCTATCCTATAAGCCTGGTATAGATGGCATGGTGTTCTCAACGTGTAGCTGAAAAATCCAAAGGTCTTTAAAAGGGAATAATTTACATTAAAAATGGTACTTCACCCAGTGCTAAATATTAAAGTGCTGTCGTGCTGTTGGTAAAGTGGGTGCTCACGGCTACGGTAAGAACCGTGTGTTCCTCACCATCCACACCATACCTAACTGATTACCACACCTGTAAATATACTTAATTCCCAGTGATGTCACACCCAGTGCAGCACTTCCACCAAGTGGCTAGAGTAAGTAATAGCAATATTAACCTATCCACAAAAAGTGAAGGTATAAATGGCTCCTACACCGCCATTATTATTTCTCGCGGCAATTTTGTAGTCCGAGCTCAATGATGCAGAAGTTACGAGAGGGCAAGTCAAAATGCTTAGTTGTTGGATGTACGTTAGTGACCTGAAGCACTTCAAGGATTCCCACTTCAACAACCTCCGCCAGTATAAAGAAGGGTTTGCCGATTGACTTCGTCTGAATGAGGGGTCAATTCCTTCTATCTTTGGAGACGACGAACAGAGCATTTCGATAAGCTGTAAATATCGTTAATAAAAATAAAGCACTTTACTTTCATAAAACACATGGTGGTCATGGTTTAGCAGTACCTTTGTCTTTCTTTGTTTCTGTTTTGAAGTAACATTACACGTCTGCAGTATTATTGTTCTTGAGTTTCATCAATGGTCATTTAGCTGCTGTGTTTTCTGATTCTTTTCTAAACGTATCATATTATCAATACAGATTGTTTGTGGTAAGATTAGACCGTAGTCATTTATCTTGTCAGTGTGCTTGTTTTAACAAGAGAAATAGTCGACTTTCACTAATAACACAAAACAGTTAACTCACATACCAATATATCCATATGAAGAGGTTGTTCTGCAGGTTCGTCGTCGTCTTTATCAACTCGCTCGCTCTGGCTCGAATATGTAAGGCTTGATGGACAAGTCTTCTGTTGTTGACGTTTTATTAACGTGTGAATAAAAATGTTCTTTGAAGGTATTGTATATAATCGTATATCTCTAATCAAACTACAATAATGGCCGAACGTGGGGAGTTGAACTGACCGTGAACTCATCGACCTGGAGAGCGGGCGGGGTGTGACGCATCTCCTTTTTATTTAAAGGGGCCGCTTTGAAACGGGTCGCTCAAAGACGCACATTAGAAAAGGGGTAGAAAAGGGGCCTGTGGAGCTATAATAATGAGGAATTCAGACCCAAGCATTGCAGTTATGTTTTACATAGACCACAACAGTATGATTTATATGTAAAAATGAATGATTTAAAAGCATGATATGTACCCTTTAACACATCCAACACTTCTCAGTTAGGAAAAAATAATGGCAACACTTTAGTTAAAGCCTTTATGCGTACTGCTTTATAAAGGTTGTAAACATTGTAATGTGTTTTTAATGCTTTATGTATGTGTTCAATGAATAGATAAGTTTTATAATGTATTATCCCATCTAACAGAATTTTGTTATAAGAACGTTCTCTAAATATTCAGTGTTGGTTCTGGGAACGTGAAAAATGTCCAGTTTTCTTGACGTTAGAGGAACGTGTTTTAAAAGGTATAATGTTCCTCAAACGTTCATTAAACATTATTTTCGATTAAAAATTCAACATGATAGTTATGTTGATTTCTAACATTCCAAGAACATAAAAATGTCCAGTTTCCTGAATGTTACTACACAGCAAAAACTCAAGAGTGTTAAAGGCATGTTAGATATAGATATAGGCAGACATATAGATTTAAGTGTATGTATCTCAACAATGGTGACAAAGAATATTTGATTAGGAAAAGGAGATTCCTAAGATAATTCAGATCATAATTTATTCATACTGCAATATATGATGGGAGCTATGAATGAGTTTTGATTGTGGTCACCCAGAATGCACTGCAATATGCTTTATTATTGTCACCATTGTTGAGAATCACAGGCTAATTATTGATATCTGTGTATCCAAACAAAATTTAAATTTCAACGACTTTTGATTTCAAGAAATCTTTTGGATTATATTGAAAAATTGGTTTAAAATTGATTAAATATAAATATAATTTATAAAATAATTTAAGAAGATTTTCAGACATTTAAGAATCTCAAAAAAGTTGGGAGGCAAAATTAAAGAGAAAATATTATAAATATATAATTTATAGGTGAACTGGTAATAGGTACCGTATCAGTTTTTTTTAAGCAAATTCATCAAAATAATTGATGTCCAGCTTCATGTTATCATGTAGCTAACACTTGATTTCTGCGCTGTAGAAACTGCTGCAGTATCGCCCGGCACCGAAAGTGATCCGCTGCATGACGAACACCCCAGTGGTGGTGCGTGAAGGGGCCACGGTGTACGCCACAGGCACCCATGCAGAGGTGGAGGATGGGAAGCTCCTGGAGCAGCTGATGGCCAGCGTGGGATACTGCACCGAAGTGGAGGAGGACCTGATCGATGCCGTCACTGGCCTCAGCGGCAGCGGCCCCGCCTATGTGAGCATCAGCACACCGCAGACATGCTTTTCTTACTTAGTATACAGTGTCTCGATTCCAGTCCAAATATCTAAAAACAATCAAGATGCATTTACTTCAGTAGTAAAATGCCTTAAGAGTTTATGTCTTGTTTTCGAGGGGAATTAATACAAAATTACGTGAGTTTTTTCTTAAAACAAGCTAAATTATCTGCCAAGAAAAAGAACAGTTGAGCTCTTTTGTGGTTTCCTTTGCCCAAAAACACCTCTGACTGTGAATATCCATGTGTTGTTTTATCCTAGGCGTTCCTCGCTGTGGATGCTCTTGCTGACGGAGGGGTGAAGATGGGATTGCCCAGGAGACTGGCTGTGCGACTGGGAGCTCAGGCTCTGCTTGTTAGTGCTTCACAGTCTATGAAACTTTGCTCATATTGATAATATGATCAATCTTTCTGTGTCTAAGATTCACAGTACAATCATGTTTTTGTGTTTTGTTGCTAGGGTGCGGCAAAAATGCTCCTGGACTCGGAGCAACACCCCGGAGAGTTAAAAGACAACGTGGCTTCACCTGGAGGTGCGACGATCCATGCTTTGCATGTTTTGGAAAGTGGCGGTTTCCGCAGCCTCCTGATCAACGCTGTGGAGGCGTCATGCATTAGAACCAGGTACTGCAATTTATTTCTGATTTTCAGCAATAGAAAGGGTCAACAGCTTGCAGTTTATTTGATAAATCCATTCAATAGTATTTGAAGATGATTGGCTCCCTGGCGTGATCCTCATTCAGTCGACGTCGACCAGGTCTGACGTTCTCGACTCAAAGGGAACTTTATTTGGCCAATTTCTTTTTCTAGATTTACATTTGTAATGTAAATAATCTTAAATCTGCTTTCTTTGGTTATTAATACTAAACAGATATTAATACAAATTAAATAGTTATAATTACTAGTGATCTAGTCAGTGACCTTGGTTATAAGATCTATTCACAAAACTCCCATTTTAATTTGATGGGCTGTTAAACTTAACTGTCACCGTCCCACAGGTGGGACGTTTGCCACTATATTTTTAAAACAATAATATCTTAGTAAATACCTTAAATAATATTGACAAACTATATATCATTTGAAAGCTTACAATCTCTAGTTTCCATATTTGGTGACTGATTTTCAAAATATATTACAGAGGAGCCATAATTTATCAATATAAAACAAGAATATTTTCATACTCATAAGGCGTGTTCAGACCTTTATTTAAAAATAGCAGTAAACATGAAAAATCATGAAAAAATGGTAGATACCTCAGTTTGTTTTCATGCCAAAAGTTCAAAAGATAGAATCCATTCAATTATTTTGGAAAAAAAAAGGTCTGAAAAGTTTGAAATATCAAGAAAAAAATAATAAATTCACCATTTGTGACGTGGCAGCTAGCTATGACTTACATGCGTGTTCTTTGTATGTGTTTCTTAGAGGTTCAATTCATATCAAAATCTGCCAAACTTCCCATGCTACTTCTGAATAGGATCTCTACTTCAAAAATACTTCTGAAAATTGTGAAAATAATGGTTCATATCACTCAAAACACGAATGGAAATGCAGGCGCCCTTATATGGGCAGTAATGGAGTCTGATTGTGCCCTAGTGAAAAAGTTTGGTACTGCGCTCAAACAAAATCTTACTGAAAGCTCATTTTTTGAGATATCAACCTAAAATTTGAAACACAACTTGTTCAGATTTTTGGCTTTGATCTTTCTGCCATTTTAGAGTAGCCCAGGTTTTGAAAATATATATTTTATGTAAAATATGAATAATTAATATTTTTACATTGTACATTTCCATAAACTCAAACTTCTATAACTTTTTTTCTGTTTCACTTTCTTAATTTATTTCACTTCTACAAAAATCTGCCAAATGTCTTCTTTAAAACAAGACCAATCATATGTCTATATTCCAAAGCATTCTTGAATTACAACCATTTAAGTTCGAAATGTGCATTTTCATGTCTATTCAAAAAAGGGGGGGTGACCGTTAACAGGTTAAAAGAGTTTTGTCTCCAAAAGGACATTTCAAGCCAACTCTTTTCTGACAGGGAGCTTCAGTTCTTGGCTGACCAGGAGAAGATTTCTCCAGCTGCCATAAAGAAGACCACTCTGGACAAGGTGCTCCAACAGTCGGGTTCGGCAGCAGGTGGCGGGATCAGGACCGGCCTCAACCTCTTTAACAGCACCAACCCCAAACACAAGAAAACCTGAACCTGGTCACCGCCATATCCAGCTCACAGTAAGGATGAAACCACTTCAAGAATTGCAGACAAGATGCTAAGACCAAAAATGCTATAAGTTGTTCTCGAAACCTGTGCTGTGTTCAGTATATTGTTTTTTGTTTTGTTGTTTTTTTTGTTTTACCTTTTTGGTTTGTATGGACCAGCTCTAAGAAGTTAGTTTCTCTCGATATACACTGTAAATTATGCACTGCACTGTAACATTGTTTTTTAGTTTGCTTAACTTAACTTTTTCAGTTATCTACATTTACTCGAATATTAAGTATTTTCAACTTGACAAAATTAGTTATGTGAACTTTTAAAGATTTGTAAAGCTGAAAGTACTTTATATATTCCAAATACAACTTAACTGAGTCAGTGGAAACGAATAAATCTGAAAGTTAAGTTGAGTGAACAAAAACACTTTTACAGTGAACTTTTGCACTGAAAACCTAAAAAAAGTAAAAAAAACTAAACTTAAAAGTTTAAAAACATATTTAATATGTCGAGTATATAGAACTTTATGAAGTCAGTGCAAAAACGTTAACTCAAAAAGTTAAATTGGGTGAACAGTATCAGTAACGTTTTTTTTTTTTTTTACAGTGTGTTTAGATTTATTAAACAATGTCTGATCTAGTACAAATAAATGTCACATCATGTTTTTACAAAGGCTTATCTGGACTGACCTGAATGAAATGAATTAATGAATTAAAGTCCTATCTTTATCTCTATATTTCTCAGTAGTTCTTTATTCTCCAAACAGAAAAAAAGCCAAATTCTCTAAATAATTGCCAGAGCCAGACCGATATATCGGCAGACCGATATCATCGGCCGATATAGGCATTTTCCAAACTATCGGTATCGGCAGTTATAATGGCCGATAAATGAATATTTTAAAAAATAAAATAAACACTCGTTGAGTTGGTCACGAGACATACATTGCTTGAATAATAATTAAAAGAACACCCCCCATCAGTTCTCTTAACTCAAATAAGCATTTGTGACTATAGTAAACCAGGCTTGTCTTCAATAACTGTGAAACCAAACTAAACTGCAAACTGACGACCTCAAAATGTTATATTTGAATTTTACAGCGTATGTATAAAACAGTTGTCATTGCCTCTGTTAATTTCCTTTTCATTCAGAACTGAATTTTGGGCAATTGAATTCCTCCGCTTTAATCTCCACAACCGGAAATGGACGAGCATCCTTGCGTCAAATGCGGAACTTATGACGTGCATATAGCCCATTACTTATTCATTTTGATGTTTTTGAATGCAAAAACCAAGCGAACGTCATAAGTTCACCTCAGAAAACAATATAATAAAATTTAAAAAGCCAGTTCATGACCTCTTTAAGTTTGCACGGCTCCAGATTAACATTTTGAGGGCAGCATTTTTATTCATAATGTCAAAATAATAATTCAAAACGATTTAAAAAAATATATATTTTTGTGAGTGGAAATGGCAGCCACTTACTGATTGTGATGTTAATTTAATGTCTTTTTTTATTTTTTAAATAAGTGTTAGTTTAGTTTTGTAAAAGGGGGGTAATCTTTGAAGGATGAACAAATAACAAGCAGGCGCGGGCCTGTCGCGTGTTGCTGATCCCTGCTGTAGGGAAACGCAGCACGGTAATATTAGGTGGATTGAACACAATTAAATTAAGTTGTGACGAGAGAAAGAAAAAATAGTGTATTTTTTTTTATTATGTCAATTGTGATATTCAGTTTAATGCAACATAATGTGATTAAAACCCCCAAATCTCATCAAATCAAATTCGCCGATCAGCAAGAAGTAGCCAATAACAAACCTTTTTTTCTTCTTTGTCATGACTATACTGCCCTCTATAGGTCTGGTGCAGTCATGTGCGCATGTGTCCAATGTGTCCATCCTGAGCTTTATTGGAAATTGTATAGCTCAGTTAAGTTAAAACATCATCCCCTTGTTTTATGTTACATAAACCCGATTAAATTACGTTACAATGACAAAATTATAATTTATAGGTAGAATCAGGCAGAAAATGTTCACTTTTTACATTGTAAATTGAATAAACAGTTGAATAATAATAATAATAAAAAAACAGTATTAAATAAATATTTTCCAGGAAATAATGGAGCTGACAGCCCTTTGAAATTACTGTAAACTTTAGTCAGGCAGGAAGAGGTAAAACAGATCAAATATACAGATCAAATAAGTGTGTGCTAGACACAACGGCAGACAAAAAACTAAACAAACAGGGATATACTGTAGAGAGCACACTTAAATAAACAAACTTAATTACATTGAGGGAAACTTTTACCACGAAATTGAATTACATTTTTCCAACAAAATCGAATCATGTTGTAATCTTGTTGTATGAACTTAAGTTAATTTAGTCAGAACTACTAAATAAAAAGTTGTCATTCCTACTAGATGAAGTTTTGTCTGGTTAACTATGTTTAATTTTTGTCCTGCCTCAATTTCCAACATGATAATTTTAGCCAACTTGACTCTGTTACTTCCAATGAAAGTGAAATACTTGTGTTCAATAAAATTTGGCAACCACAAAATGGGTCATGAAATGGGTCATACTTGATATTACCAAAGGACTGAGAAGTGGAAGTAAATAGAAAACTCGGCTCATACAAGGACGCAGTTGTTGGATGGATGGAGCAAGAATAATGTTATTGTTTAAAATGCCAAGCACACAGTTCAGTTTAATGGTAAAGCTCGCCCTCTTTAACAACGCAGTTAAACTAAACGTACTACGCTGAAATAAAGAATTAAAACAATGGAATAAGAGTGCATTTTTCATCTGTCAATCACATGCGCGTAAAAGTGTAATTCATTACTATAACCCACTTTGGACTCACGGCACATTTTCACCATTATATACTATGATTTGATGAAGAAAAGTTAATATTGTGTGCTATATAAGACGTCACAATGGAAACCAAATGTTACAAAGCACAGACAGAAACACAATAATAGTTATTATGTAAAGAACCAAGAAGGTCACATCTACGATTCTTGCCACTCTGGTCCAGGACAGCTTCTTCCATTGGATTGGTCGAGTTGCAGTTGAAGACTTTTCATTCTGATCTCTAACTGAGTCTGGAGGGCTATTCAAGTCTCTTTCACCGTCTGTGAGAGGGAAAAACGGAAAGCATGGGTCCGGATTAATTCTGTTTTGTCTGCATAATTATATGATTTCTTTGATGGAGAAAATTTGCTGATTCTCCATTATAGAGTGGTTTTGGGGTGGCTTGTTTAATATGTGATTCCATGGTTTTATATTTGCTAATTTCAGACTTCAAATGCTATTTTCATCCATCCATCCATTATCCAAACCGAGTCTAATTTACTCAAAGATTAATTTTGTTTGCATTTCTTTCCAAAAGTAAAATCTAAAACTTAATTTCACAACTAAACCTTGATTTGTGAAGTAAAAGTGTCAAATACATGAAAATGTTCGTCATAATCAGATGCATTGTCGAGTCTTACCATCTCGGCCACTGACAGTAGATGTTGTTTCCGCTGATCTCTTCTCATCTCCTCTAGTCATCAGAAAATTCACAAAACACGTCTCCAGGATGCCAATGCCAATTAGACAGAAAACCGCACAGCAGTAACTCGCTGTGAGAAACAGGAAACTATGACCATTCTTGTAGTTTGTGTGTCTGTAATGCTGTAAATAAAAACCTTTTGTGCACTAAATGATCACCATGATGGAGATCAGTATTTGCTTTAGTTGATCCCTTGACCCTATACTCAGACTGTTTCATGAAATTCGTACTTCCATTTTTGGCGTGCTATCAACACGCATAATCGCTTTTCAGCGTGTTTATGAAATGCCGTTGATATAACGTTACATTACTGTGTATATATATATATATATATATATATGACCTACCCCAACCCCGTCCTTAAATGGACCTGTCACTGGGGTTAATACACTGATCTATATAGAATGACTGGATAGCTCACGATGTCATAAACAGTGAAGCCACCGTGCGCCATATTGTGATTCCCTAGAAAGCTCACACGTTCTATTGAATCAATAGGAAATTGTATGATTTGACTGAGAAAACATTGCATAACGGGACACCGTTTTTAAATCTAAAGTCTCCCTGAACAGTCTTACAACGCAAACAACATTTAAATGGGTATTTGAAAATTAGTAAAAATTGAAAATAGTCGAAAATTATTCCTGCTTATTAAAAATTAAGTATATGTGTGTCGTGAACTTAAAATATAGCTCTTTCGGATTGTGTTTTACATATAGATATGTTCAATTATTTGATTATTTAGCAAAAACGTGCAAAAATGTTCAGAAAATGAATGTTTATTCATTGTTTATTCATGAATGTTTATTCATACTCATGGTACGGCAATGAAGTTTCCTGATTATTACGCAGAAATGAGAGTATAGTTCCCTGCATATCAGCCTAGAAAATCGCAACTTTACATTATCCGTCTGTCTTAGTGCAGAGTGTAACTATACAGAAGAGTCAAGTTTTAAATAGAAAAAATATCGAAACACTTTGGTAATTTTTTTTGGGAGAAATGCTAATGGTCTTGTGCACTTCAATGATGTATGCTAAGCTATGCTAAAAGCGGTACCGCCAGAACCAGAGATCAGCTAAATGGATTCAAAAACGGTAACACTCAACAGTTTAAAGTTGTAAAATGAACGTATTTTCAAAAAAGTGGAGTATCCCTTTAACAGTAATACACTGTAAGTTATAAAACAGGTTTATACTGGCAACACTGTTGACCGTAGTTTACTGTAAAATGTAGTTTTTTGGGGGGTTCTCCGTTTTGCTGAAGAGTAGAGACTGTGAAAAGATCTGGAAACGTTTATGATATGCTACATATTGCTTTATTTAAGTTGCTTAGTCCAGTGGAAATCTTATAATGTTCAATAGTTCTTCAGTGATTTCAAATGAAATAAGATCACATTAATACCTTGCTCACATTATAAATGCATCATACATTTTAGTTAATACATTTTAATGACAGTTGGTCAATTTAAGGCAGTCGGTTTCTGCAAGTGAAATTAGTCAACTCGAGTTTTAATTTAGTGCATTTTTTTTACAGTAACATACTGTAGATAACAGTGACGAACTGAACAATTAACAGTAAATTACTGGCAACAGTGATAATGTCTAACAGTGTACTGACCTCAAGCTCCATGGCATGCCAAGTTCACCTCTTTTCCCTAGTTATGACCCCATCCATATTCTAATCTTTCGCTTCCTCATCATTTTTTTCAGCGCACATAAAAACCACAATTTCCCAATTGAGATTCATCTTGCTCTATTTGTTTACCACTAGCGGATACTCATGACGTTTTATTCTTCTATACTGTCTTGCATCATAGCCAATGATTGAATAGGTGTCATCATCGTATAGTCTACATACGCAAGTTTTTAGATCCATGTCGTACATTAGAATCTGTGTGATTTGTAATGATCTTATAGGATTGCTGAAATCAGATGGCTTGTAGTTTCTGTTCTTTTTCTTTCTGCTTGTTAACAGCAGGTGTTCATCATTATCCCAGCTAACAGATTTTTGTTACAAAAACGTTCTCCAAACATTCAGTGTGGGTTCTGGGAACCTAAAAAAATGTCCAGTTTTCTTGACCTTAGAGGAACGTGTTTGAGAATTAAATCTTTAATTTCTCAACTATATTTCAGTTTAAGAGAATATTCTAAGTTTAATGCATATTGTTTGATTGTTATGACTTCATTTGAGATTCAATTACAGGATTGCATTCTTAAAAAAGAACCTAAATTAAGCAATATTAAATAATCAGGTTTATGTTAGACTCACCAATCAGAGGGATGTTTTCAGCCGTAGAGGGAAGTGTGTTGTAAAGGATCAGCAGCATCACAGAAATAGACAGCAGTAAAGTCAATTTAAAGCTCACTTTGTCTGCTCCACTTATGTCAATGAAGTTGGAGATCACATCCAGCACAAGGAAGAAAAACACAGGTATCATAATGTTTATGACATACAGTAGAGGTCTCCTTTTTATGGTGATCTGCCATGAAGAGAGAGAGAGAAAGACACTCTTTAACATCGAGAACACTAAGAGACATAAATTTACTTTTATACATTTGGCAGAAGCAAAGTGACTTAGAGTATGCAGGTGATTTAGAGGGGACAATTCCCCTGGAGCAACATGGAGTAAACTCTAGTTTAAACAAAGTCCTTTTAGTCAAGCCATGCCTCTCGGCCGCCATCTTGGCAACGCCTCCGGGCAGTTATTTTGGACTAACAAGACTAACAAGACTCTTGCTCGCTCGTTCTAGATTCCGGGAGATTTGAACTCATTTGCGGGATCAGGGAACCGCTATCAATCTGCGGGAGACTCCTGGAGCTTCCGGGAGACTTGGGATGTCTGATATTTACACAATGCACATACACTGCATATCAATCACTCTCAGTGTTAATTTAACACTGGTGATTTTGCTGTGTAGTGATGAAAGTATTTATCTTGAACTCTATCATGTGTAAAACATTAATTTAACAATTTAGAAATCAATGAAATAGGAATTTATAGCTGATATTACACTGTAGCCTGTAGTGCTGTGGGCGCCATCTTCTGGTCAGATGCGGAAATTCATTCAGCCCGTGACTCTCATAGTGCATTATGGGTATTCTCGAGTCTAGACATTGAGTGTACGTCTGCGTTCCAGTCCACTTTTAGACACACACTTGTGAACTTCTCTTAATTATTGAAGAAAAAAGTTAGCGAGTGAAGGGCATGATAATTTTGGACTGGAACAAAGCCTGTTGTGTACACTTGTTATTGCGGATACTATCACCAGATACTTGCTTTTCATGAACGAATCAGCTGTTTTAGCTAAATGAATGACTGGATGACTCAGTAAGACAGTGACTTGCCGTAACCTAGATGATTAAATAAACATACACAAACAAAATTATATACATATATGTATAAAAACACACAGACAAATAGACCCTGACGCACTTTCAGCGTATCTTAATTCATTGATGTCTGATGTCCAATCAGCTGTATTCCATTTGCAAAATGTACCAACCTTTTCCGTTTTTAATGACGGACAATTATCGTTATTTTGTTTTTAGTCTTGTTATTTTAGTTTTAGAATAGCCAATGTATTTACAATTTGTTGTAACTGTCTCCAATTTGTCTCTTAATTTATAAGATATTTGATACCCCTGCTTTTTTAAGAGTAAAAAATTTAATAATTCAATTTTGGCACACATTTAGGCACTAGCTGTTCTTTTTTTTAATTTTTAGATTTTATGTATATATTCAATATTGGTTTACATTCCATACCCAGTACTCTGTACCTGATATATCAGCTGATTTATTTCAGAATCTCCAACATCTTCTTCAATGGTAGTCTCAGTGCTATTTATACTGATAAAGTCCCACTCTCCCTGGGCCTGAAATAGCTCCTTCGACTTGAAGGTCGTCCGGTTTGATTCAGATAATGTTTTAAGTATAATCTCCTGAACTGTGGGAACAAACATTAAAATTGTATTATTTTATATTGAAAATAAATAGTTTATAAGAACGAACCATGTTATCTTTTACATGGCTTTATTAATCAAAACTGATTCATGCGTTTCAGATGTACCTGAATACACTGTAGACTGAAGTGTTATTTTGCAGATTTGGGTTTCGAAGGGAAACCTGTAGAGATCCATCTTGCAGGCCGTGGTCAGAGCTAAAACATCAGTTGACACTGTAAATCCATAACTGAGCAACTCCACATATGGAGACTCCTTTGTTCCAAAATCTGTCTTGATACTAAATGGATAGAATTGAAATTAACACTCCTCCTTGACTCAGACACAGACATCAATATCAGCGTATGAATCTCAACAATGGTGAAAATCAAAAGTTTCTTGTCGCAATGCATGCTGGGTTCCAGGATGGTATAAAACTCCCAGCATGCAATGCAGTATGTATAAAAACATTTTGCCACTATTGTTGAAATTAATGTGCTAACTTTTGATATCTCTGTGTTCCTATAAGATAGTGTAGCTCAGTTTTTTTTTTTTTTTCGTGTAACTCATTGCTGTATGACCATGCAACCATGACTTTCGAAGGTGCAAACCGCCACCTACTGTATCGGAGTATGTAGCATGAACTATGTTCGTTGGGACTACTTTATATAAAAAATAAACAAAAACAAACTAAATCCTAGTTATATCCCTATATTTTAAAATGCAATTATATGACCCATTTAAGGCCCTTGCACACTGAGTCCGAAATTCACATCCAAAATTTTTGCACGTTAAAAAATAAATACGACCTCACATTATGTCAATCACCCTTGCACATTGCCTCCGAAACTTTCGGCCTTCATAAAAAAAATCGAATCGGTTCGATTTTCTGCGTGTAAGCAGTTTGAATGGTATTTGAATGGTGTTTTGGCTAAAACAGGCCTTTAGCCAGATTAAAACACTCTCCTGTCTTCTGTTACTTTTATTCACACCCTGAGCATGCAAGCTGTAATATTTCCTTCCACTTTTATCCACATCCCACCTGTCCCACCATTTCTTCATCATTTCTTTTTTGATAATTGCCTTAGCTTCTTCTTTTCCAAGGGGTATATTTATGACATTGATCATCCTGGTTGATTTTTTTTGGATATTTTGTCTGCTCCCTCATTCCCTTTAATACCTACATGGGCAGGTACCCAGCAGAATCTCACATCTGTCCGTAGTCTCAATAAGCTTCTATTAGATTTCATGTTTTGAATACTATAAAGGGCTGCAACAGAATCAACACAACATACCACTCTGTCTGGTTTTACTTCCTCAACCCACTGCTGTCAATAATCGTCACCATCATCTCTGCCCTATACACTGAAGCCTGATCAGGTAATCTTTTCCCAATGCTTACATTCATTGTTGGTATATCCCTATTCCTACCTTGTTCTCTTCATCTTTAGATCCATCTGTATACATATCTAAGTAACTGTAATATATGCTCCTCATTTACTGACTTGCCAGATGCTTTTCCCACTCTCTTACCATTCAATTTTTAGTTCCAATATATTTAAATCTATCTCAGTTTTTAAAATATAAACAAGTCAAGAATCCAGAAGAACCCAACTAAAGCAAATACTGATCTCTACAAAGGTTACGTCAAACCAGCAATTTTCAATTAAACATCCTTTCTGTAGATGTATGATAGAAATAAAGTCATACTAGTTAATAATAAGTGTAATAATGTGTAATGGCTGGAAGTAAGTTCTTGTGTTCCTCTTTCTACCAGTGAATCTGCTTGTTAACAGCAGGTGTTCATCACTAATGCTCAACAATCACTCACATATTCAATTAATATCTCACTGCAACATAACACTGAATCAATGTTACTTTTTACTCTTAGTTGTGTGGAATTTCCTGTAGGGAAAAGGGTTAACAGTGTAAGATAAAAAAAAAAAAGACACACCCACTGATTGCATTTTAACATTAATAAACTATAAGTTATAAAACAGGCTTATAGTGGCAACACTGTTCACTCTTTTTGGCCACCATTGTGCTGAAGAGGAGAGCCTGTGCTTCAGTCCATTAGAAGATTTACAAACATTCATGATATGCTTTGTGTACTTTATTTAATGGGCGGTGACTGTGTAGTTGCTGGTCCAAGACTTATCTCAGCCTGTTTTTATGTGCACTATAAACCTTTGAATCGGCTTTAAAATTCCCAGTCATTTCCGTTATCATACCATTACCATAATTTGTAAATCTCTCTGTTCTATCATTAAAAGGTAAAAACAGCTAAATAAAAGGTTTTGAAAGAAATATACCTTTCCATTATACAAATGTCTGGTGTCCAAAACAAATTTTTAGGGGCTGCATATGATTTGATTCCACAATATTCGTCAGGATCCCACGTCATATTGGAATTTGGCCAAGCCTGGAAAATTAGATAAAGTTCAGAATTATAAGACAGATTTCGCACGGTAAATTCCCCAGTGTTGAAATAACACCTTTCTATATTGTTCTTCCAGACCGACAGAGGCAGTGCTTCACACTGGATTCTATCTCTCATTGCAAATGCATTCGTTGAGTCTATATCCTTGTGTCCCTTGTGACCAGGATGACTTTGTGTGCTCCCCTACTTAACCCCGTGACTTCCTGCAGACTGCACAAATAATCTTCTCGCATGCACATATTGCAGGTCATAGATTAGGCGCAAAAAAACAACAACTTTGGAATCCGTTTTTTGGAACAAAAAATATTTGTTGGTGTTTCGCGACTGCACGTCCTCCAGAGGCAGTTGGAATTCCATTGAAATAAAAAATAAAGAAAGCAACAGCCGACAATTGGGAAACAACAGCTCTGCAGGTGAGTTTGTTTACATTTGTGTTTCGTTCTAGTTTTCCCAGCATTGTGTTGCTCGCTAGACAGAGTGTTTTCGCTCTGGGAAGGGCCATAATAACGCGCAGCTGAAGTCAAGACTGCGCTAAGAGCTAGACGTGTTTTTTTTTTTTTTTTCCTTAAAAGGTTCTGGGAACATTACCACGAAGTTCTAATAATGTATTCAGCGGGTAGTTTTATTCGCGTCCTCCAGAGGCTGTAAGGCAAGGCAAGTTTATTTATATAGCACATTTCATACACAGTGGCAATTCAAAGTGCTTTAAATGGAAGAAATTAAAATAATCAAAAGAAATCAGAATAATTAAAACAGTTTAGAATAAAAAAAATCATAATAATAAAAATAAAATACAGTAAATAATTAAAACAGTTTAGAATCAAAAGTAAAATGAAGTACAGTAACAGTCGGACGAACTCAGTAAATGCAATCAATATAATTAAAAACAGTTAAGAGTAAAAATAAAATAAAGTAATACCCCTATCTGAGATGGAAGAGATTGACCTTATGGTGCTACTAGGCCTCCAGCCCAGGGACGTACTCTGCAGGGGTGGTGCTACACCAGTAATGCCCAGCAGGGCCCCCACAGAGCACGCTTCTGCTGCCGTTACCCTTAACGAAACTCTCAGTGACTTCTTATACTCTCAGCAGTATAAGTAACTTACTTCTTCACTCGCCTCATCGGAGTGAAGACTCTCCTGCTCTCCATCAAAATCTCTTCCAGTATACCCCTATCTGAGGTGGAAGAGTTTGAGCTGGTTTACGGTGCTACTGGACCTCCAGCCCAGGGACGTAGAGCGTCGTACGTACTCTGCTGGGGTGGTGCTACACCAGTAATGCCCAGCGGGGCCCCCACTGCTGGGTTTCTGTAGCGGATTCAGTTGGAATTCCATTGAAAATAAAAAATAAAGAAAGCAACAGCTGACAATTGGGAAACAACAGCTCTGCAGGTGAGTTTGTTTACATATATGCTGGGGTTTCTTTCTAGTTTTCCCAGCATTGTGTTGCTCCAGCCCGTTCTCATCCTTTAACGTCATATAGAACGCTATATGAAGAGTTCAGATGCAAAAGCCTCTAAATGCCATTTGAAATTTTCTTCTAAAAGGACCATTTTTATCAAGCTTGTATATTTAAGTTCAGTAATTTCACTTAAATGGCAATGACGATTACCTATTAATTGTTATTTAAGTGAAATTACTGAACTTAAATATACAAGCTTGATAAAAATGGTCATTTTAGAAGAAAATTTCAAATGGCATTTAGAGGCTTTTGCATCTGATCTCTTCATATGCAAAAACGGCGCTATACTACGCACATGGCACCCTTTATCGTAAATATAACACGCGAACCCAGGACGTTAGAAATCTTTTAGCGTGAATATGACACGCAGACCAGGCGCGGAGTTTGCGGGGGGGCAGGGGGAGCGTTGCCCCCCCAGTGGCTGAAACGGGTAATCGCATTTTCTTAAAAAGGCTGTAAAAAACTACCAACCCCAATCTCTTTAAGTTATCGCTCACTCGGTCGATTGTGTCATCTAACTCTGAGAGAAGCTTTTCTGCGATAAATGGGCGTCAATTTGAAATGTGCTGGGGACAGAGACGTACTCGAAAGGGCATTTTCACAAGTGCTGGGTACGCATTCATTCTTTTTCTCTCTTTCGAGTAGGTCATGTTTTGAAAGACGATGTTCTGTAGCTCCTGATGTACATAAATAAAAATGAGCACAATGTCCGAGTATAGTGAGTATAAAGTATACGCCCTTTATTGCATAAATAAAAATGAGCACAATGTCAGAGTATAGCACTTTTTTCATGTGTATAGTGAGTATATAAAATATATACTCCCTTTTTCGTGTATACAGTGATGGTCCAGATCCAGGACTCGGGAGGTTCGAGGTTCTAATCCGCACTCGTAAAGTTTTTTTTTTCCCCTCATCAAAACCAATAGGTAGCCTAATCCCGTGTCTTAAAATTTTTTCAATGATTCATGAAGTATAAATGCGAAATTTAACTAGTTTTTAAATCATTATCATTGCCAGAATGTGTTTTGAAAAAAGGAAAGAAAACTTTAAGGTTGAAGATAATATTTTAACAGTGCAAAAGTGGTCCACATTTCATGATCCTATAACGAAGATGCGACGCGAAGTGGCTGTTAATGCGAAGTTCTAGCTGTTTACAATGACATAAAGGCAATAAAATATCAGTGTATTGTTTTACTGTTTTTTCTTGGGATAAAAATAAATATGTGTTTATTTAGCATGTTTTTTTTTTTTTTTGCCCCCCTGGCTCCAATGTCAAACTCCGCCTATGTCGCAGACCCTACCCCACACCTAAACTTAGCCCTCACAGCGCGTGTTATATTAACGATAACGGGTGCCATGTGCGTAGTATAGCGCCGTTTTTGCATATAGCGTTCTATATGACGTTAAAGGATGAGAATGTGTTGGTTGCTCGCTAGACAGAGTGTTTTTGCTCGGGGAAGGGCCATAATAACTTGCAGCTGAAGTCAAGACTGCGCTAAGAGTGTGTGCGCTCTGTATAGCAATGGGTATCTGTGCTAAAATAAGTACAATATATATATATATATATATATATATATATTAGTGCTGTCAAATGATTAAAATATTTAATCGTGATTAATCGCATTAATGTCATAGTTAACTCGCAATTAATCGTACATTTTTATCTATTCTAAATGTCTCTTGATTTCTTTTTCTCACATTATTTTTTCTCGTTTTAATGCTTTTATCAACATGGAAAAGAGTATCGGCTTGCTTTGTGCAAATGTTTTTTATTGACAACAACATTGTGTTCAATTGCAAACTAACATTCTCACTTGGAGCAAATAATCTCTCACACAATGTAACACAGTCCATCAATAAAAGGGTGAAAGAAATACTGACGAGGTCCTGATATTGACGAGGGGGCGGAGAATTCGCATCAGCTGTGTGTGTGTGTGTGTGTGAGTGTGCTTGGCTGTCATCAAGCGGTATTTCAGACTGGACGTGCTGCGATGATGATCGCTCAGTTCACAACGACAAAACACACAGATCACTTTGGTCTTGTCAATGGGACCATTTGGCAACTTTTTAGTAAAGTAAAGTTTCCAGTCAGAATCTTATTGGCATCCATTTCGGCATCTCGCGCTCGTCATCCACTCAGAATGTAACGTTCAACTTCAACTTTCAACTTTTATTTATTTATATAGCATATTTAATAGCAACGTAGTTGCCCAAAGTGCTTCACCGTTGGCTCAAAACAGTAAGACATTCATCTATAAAAGCATATATGAAAGTTGACCATACACTCTTAGACATACTCCCTCATATAACAGTGAGGACAGTGTGGAAAGGATTTAAAATAATAAAAACTGTAAGTGATTAAATTATATATCTACACTGTACAATGCACTAACTAGAGAGTTGTCTCTTCCTGGATTTCAGCAATATGTTAAAGACAACACACGTAAGAATAGGACACTAGACAAATGCTATGGCAACATTAAAGATGCATATGCTGCCAGAATCAAACCCCCCCCTCTCAAACTCAGATCATAACATCATCCATCTGATCCCCACATTTAAGTGTGCCATTAAAAAGAGCAGACCCATCTCAAAAACCGTCAGCGTGTGGCAGGATGAGACCAAGGAGACGTTGAGTGGATGCTTTCTGGCCACAGACTGGGATGTCTTTTACCAGGACAACGATATTGACAGAATTGCGGAAACAATAACGGGGTATATCCAATTTTGTGTTGATACTGTTGTGCCGAAAAAAACGATCACTATATATCCTAACAACAAAGACTATATAACACCGGAAATTAAACAACTGATCAGGAGGAAAAAGCAAGCATTCCGGAATAATGATTTGATGGAACTGAGATCAATACAAAAAGACCTGAGGGGAAACTGAAGAAGGCACGAGAGGAACACAGTAAACAAGTTAGGGAAGCCTTTTTAAGGAATAACCCCAAAAAAATGTGGGACACGGTGAAAGAAATGACTAATATGAACTCTGGTCAGAAGGAATTAAGTGTGGAGAATGAATTTGATAAGGCAAATGATCTTAACATCTTTTATAAACGTTTTGATTTGAATGGTGAAACAAATGTGACTTGCTGCAAAGAGCTGTCTATGTCAATACCATGTGATCCAATACTAGATAGAATAATAATTAAACCTAAAGATGTCACTGCAGTCTTTAAAAAGTTGAATAGCAAGAAGGCCAGCGGACCTGATGGTATCTCATCTTTTATTTTAAAAATATTCTCGGATGAGCTAACCCCAGCTTGGTGCACCTTATTTCAACTTTCTGTGGATACATGTACTATTCCCACTATTTGGAAGACATCAGTTGTCATCCCGTTGGCCAAAAAATCATGCCCCAAGCAAAATGATGACTATAGACCAGTAGCGCTGACTTCTATAGTGATGAAGTCACTGGAACATATAATGGTTGGTAAATTAAGAAGTGAGGTACAGCATCTCTTGGACCCATACCAATTTGCCTATAATAATGGCAGGGGTACTGAGGATGCTTTAATTACAACTGTACACTCCATCTTAAAGCACTTGGAAAATCCATTAGGTTATGTTCGCTTATTATTTATGGATTTCAGTTCTGCTTTTAATTGTATTCTTCCGCAGAAAATGTTAAGTAAACTACATCAGATGAAAGTGAATCCCTTCATTATTAAATGGTATGGTTCTTTCCTGACAGAAAGGAAGCAGCAGGTGAGAGTTAACTCCACCCTTTCTAATATGATTAACATTAGTACAGGTGCCCCGCAAGGTTGTGTAAGTTCGCCCTTACTTTTTATATTATATACAAATGAGTGCAGAAATAATGATGAGAGGAATAATTTTATTATTAAATTTTCAGATGATACGGCCATCCTTAGTTTACTTTACAAAAATTCAGATATTGGTATATATACACAGGAGATAGAGGAGATGGTGAAGTGGTGCAATAAGCATAACTTGCTCCTTAATGTTAATAAAACTAAGGAAATGATTTTTGATCCTAAGTCTATAGGTGACCTAAGCCCTGTTCTAATTGAAGGAGTTCCGATTGAACAAGTAACATCGTATAAATATTTAGGAATTCAATTAGATAAACAGTTACAATGGTCACATCAAGTGGAATATGTTTCCTCAAAAATATGTCAGCGTCTTCACTTTCTAAGAAGATTAAGAGTGCATGGAGTTGACAAGGATATTATGATACTGTTTTATAAGGCAGCTATTGAGTCAATTGTTCGATATGGTATGGTAGTTTGGTTTGGTAACCTGTCAGTTAAATTAAAATCATCACTCCAAACATTGATTAAAAGGGCAGGGAAAATAATCGGGCAAGTGCAATCGACTACTCTTAATGAGCTTTTTGTGGAGGCGGTAAAGAAACATGGTTTTAAAATAATCAACGATCCGAATCATGTCCTATGCAGTGAGTATGAGATGATGCCCTCAGGCAGAAGGTACAGGTTACCAAACTGCAGATTAAATAGGTTTAAATTTTCATTTGTACCGCTCTCTATTAAAATACTGAACGATCAACTAGGGTGTGTGGGTTAGAATTTAAGTGTGACATTAATTATGTTTAATCATGTCGGGTGTGACATTAATTTTTAACATTAATATAATCTGTAATTCATGTTTGTGTGTTATGTGTTATGTATAATGTATACTGTGTTGCATCTGTTTCCTGAAGGCCAAAGATGAATTTCTCCATTAGGAGACAATAAAGGCTAATCCAATCCAATCCAATCCAATCCAACTAAAGGCTAAGTTAAAAAGATAAGTTTTTAAATTAGACTTAAAAATTTCTATTGTTTGAGCTTGCCAGATATGAGCGGGGCCGGGGAGACTGTTCCACAGCTATAGGTGCCGCAACTGAGAAGGCTTGGTCACCCTTTATCTTCTTTTTTGGAGTAAGGGACTGTCAGCAAAAATTGTTTTGTTAATCAACGTTAATCAACTATTTGGCCTGCTCGCAAGCCCAAATGAGTGTGTGCGGCGTGCCTGTTGTTTTGTTTCGGGTCTAGCTAGATCCGCTTGTGCTTTGGTCGACAAAGCAACAAAACGTCCTCGCGCGGCACAAGCCATTGAAATGAATGGGTTTCAGAGCGCAGCGCACGCATCCCGGGTCCTGTTGCAAAAGCATGTGAAAAAATACTTAAAAGTTTGCTAGGGCAAAAAGAATGTTAATTGCGCAATAACAAAATTTACGCCGTTAATAACACGTTTAACTGACAGCCCTGATATATATATATATATATATATATATATATATTGTGGTAAGATAATATATATATTGTGGTAAGAGACCCAAGGAAGCCCAGATAGCACATTGTTTCGGCCTAGATCCGGCCCACATCTGGCACTTGTGGGATGTGGATCTGGCCCACATGAGGCGTGGAATGACGGCCCTTGGGTGGCCCACTCCTATTTGCCAGATCTGGGCCACAAGCAGGCCATAGCAATGCCACATGTCAGCCAAGAGCAAAGAAATAAACCAGAACTGGACTTTATCTGAACCACAAAATCTGTGTTAAATATGGAGTCATCTCAACCTTAATAAGCCTGTTAACAAGCAGAATCACTGAAGGAAAGAAGAGAATGGAAAAAGAGACGAGCAGAACAACTACAACTGACTTCAGCCACAGTGATGAAATCACCTGAAGAAAAAAGAAGACATTAAATCTGTGAAGATCTCAGCAGAGGAGGATTAAACAACTCCACAAACAGCATTACCAGCATCACTTATTACTAAACAGACTGACTTTATTCTATCAGACTTCTACAAAAGTTTTTATTGAGAATTAACAGAGGTTTAACTCTGTGTTTCATTTGAAGTCACCATAACAGTGATTAATGTTGCAAATTGAGTAACACTTTGTGAGATAAGACTGAAATAGGTTTTTAAAACACTTACAGTTATCATTTTGACCTGTATCGTGATGCTCTGGGCTTTTTCATTCTGTAGATAAAAAAAAAGTGTTTAGAGATAAAACTATAACTGCCATAATGCCAATATCCCATAATGATCTGAATCATTCTGGACACATACCACATTTGTGATGGAGGTCACATACATGTCCACATTAACGACAGCAGGGTCAAAGTATGGAAAATCTAGTGGGTCATCATGGAACGTCAAGGGCCACATTCTAGTATTCTGAGAGGAATTCTCGTTCAGGGCGAGACGATCAAAAAGTCTTTTTTTAGCTTCAGCTGTTTCTGTAGCAGAGCAGTTTTCAGCATCAGACTCCTGCCCTGTGCACAGACATTCAGTAACACATTTGAATATATTCTCCAAGCACACAGTGAAAAATAATTTCAAGTTTAAACATTCATCTTTCTACATGATTTCACATTCCATGTCTCTTCCTCCCCCTCCTCGGCTCCATCAAACTCAACACTCACACTGGTTGTCAGATCGAGGACATGCAACAGGAGTGAGTGCAATTGACAATTAAAAACAGAGGAGCTGTAAGTTGATGAGTTGATTTATGATGCGTTTTAATATGCTTCCGTTTTGTAGTAATTCTTAGAAGGGTGCTGAGGCTTTTTAGGTCGGGCAGAATCTGCGATTAGTTAGTTTGCTGACTTCCATGGCTGCAATACATTGCGTTTTCCGCTAACTGGCAACCTGGAGTGGCGAAATACATTTAAATGAGCAATGGTTGGAATTGCATAGACCAAAACAAAGACAGACATTCCAACACGGGACGCACATTTCAAAGTAAAATAACTGGCTATAGTATTGTTTATTCAACATGACATCATGACTTTTGCGTAAACATATACGCCACTTTCGAGTCAGGTGGCGTGTTATCTCTACGCATTTTGTGCTATCCGCGTGTTTCCGCGTGTATGCGTATATGTTTACGCCATTAACGTCCGCGTCATTCCGCGTGTCCGAACACGCAGTCAAATCTTCACTCATAAATGCCATTAACCCCAGTGACGGTTAAGTTTAGGGATGGGGTTGAGGTAAGTCGTATCTTTTTCTTTCCTAGGATGGTAAGTGAACACTCATAAATGCCATTAACCCCAGTGACGGTTAGGTTTAGGGACGGGGTTGAGGTAAGTCATATATTTATATAACGTTAAGTCAACGGCGTTCATAAACACGCTGAAAGGCGATTATGCGCCCTGATAGCACGCCAAAAATGGAAATACAAATTGGCGTGTCATACACACGCTACTTCATGAGATCAGTCTGGTTTATCAGAGAAACATAGTGATCAAGCATACAAACAAATAAAAGACATATTGTGTAGAAGACATTAAAGTCATATTTTCAGTCCTTTCAGTTCAATAACCAGATATGTTAAGACAGACAGACATTCCCATATGCATGTCACACACACATTTATGCTCATTATCAGTTCAGACATTATGACAGACGTCATTCTCCATATGTATGTTAACAAGTGCCATGACTTTAAGCCAAATTATTGGCATGTCTGCCATATAAACTTCACAACTGTGCAAACATAGATTATGCCCGTTGAGTGTAAGTCAATAGCTTTCGATAGTAGCTTTTGAAAGCTAACACCAATCACCATTATGGTGATTTCAAACAAAGCTTACATCTAATCAAACATCAACAATAATTAATGTTAAACCTCTGTTAAATCTTAAAGGGGGGGTTGACTGAGATTTAAATTTTTTCATTTTAAATAGTGTGTAATGTTGCTGTTGGTGCATGAACAGGATCTGCAAAGTTGCAGCGCTGAAAGTTCAGTGTAAGCAGAGATATTGTCTTTTAAAAATCAGGAAGTTTAATGCCTACAAAAACGACTTGATTGGGACTACAGCTGGGTTATGGTACATCACTAACCCACACATTTGCATTAACCACTCCCTCCGGAATAAGCAGAAAAGGGCATGGCTATATTTCTGCAGCTCCAGCAGCTCGTCGAGTGAGTTGTTCACGCAGCTGTCAGGTCTTCTGTCTTCGAACTTCCCACAGACGCTGTACTTCGTCAACAATGGATACAATTTATGTTTGATTATGTTCCTGAAAATGACGATCGTAATTTATCTCTCTGTGCTGCGCATTTTACGGAAGACAGCTTCCAGAATCTCCACGAGTTCAACACCGGATTCAACAAGAAACTGTTACAGAAACATGAAGCAGTTCCGACTTTAAAACCAGAGGCAGCAGTTGTTGGGCCACAACCTGTAAGTAGGCCAAGACTTAATCATTTTAAATGTATTTGCATGTATAATTCCAGACGTTGCCTTCTGTTTTAGTTTTCTTCAAATGCCAGCGTTGGCTTTATTGCCACTACCCAGCCGGCACACGACCGACCTTCAACGTTGAAATATGGTTGAAATAACGTCAGTTGTTGTTTCAACGTTGAAACAACGTTGATACAACGTTTAATGTTAAATGGTTGAAAAACAACCAGTACATGACCAACCTTCAACGTTGAAATTTGGTTGAAATAATGTCAGTTGTTGTTTCAACGTTAAAACAACGTTGATACAACGTTTGATGTTAAATGGTTGAAAACATGACCAACCTTCAACGTTGAAATATGGTTGAAATAATGCCAGTTGTTTTTTTCAATGTTGAAACTACGTTGAAATAATGTTTAATGCTAAATGGTTGAAACAGGGTCAAAAAAACACTTATAAATCAACTTTGATATTTTTTTTAAGATCTATGTTGAATCAATTAATGTATGTACAGAATAAATTATTTCTTCCTTTTAAATTATTATTAAGATCATTATTATTATTATTTTATAATCATTTTACATTTTTATCATGAACCTTCTAATATAAATATTACCGGTATAAAACAATTCCTATTGGTTTTAACCTTATTTGCTTTCATGATTATGATTGGTTAATCTTTCTGTCATTCATGAAACTGGCCAATGAAACTGTGCGCGCCTATTTCATTTTGAAAATATGACCGTTATCCTGACCGTCTTTCTGATTGCGAGACTGACCAAGAGAAGAGCACGATAGAAAGTGATCTGCGGCCGCGGACCTAAAGGTAAGTCTGATTTCACAAATATACGCAAGGTCATGACTTAGACTTAATGCATGTCAGTGCTTGGAAAAATGCAGTTTGTTGAATGAATTTCTTAACTCGATATTCAGGAAATGCTTTTCCACATTAATTTGTGTCGCGGAGGCCTACTTTTACAAATGTCGATTGAGGTAACGTTACTTGTGCCGCTTCATTGTCTTTTTGTGTTTTTGCGGTTGCTACGTCGATTTTCAGGGAGAAGATATTATACGTGTGTAAGTTACACAGATAAAAAAAAATCAGGAAACAAAAGCTTAACGTTCGATAAGCTATTTTTTCTGTTTAGTAGTCGTCGTCATTACTGTCCATTCACAGTAATATCGCGAGATTCAGCCAAGGGAAGGAGAATGAACGAGATGGGCGATATGGAAAACAATATCCAATCGAGTTTATTTTATGTCTTAAATATGATTCACAATATTATCACGATTCTTTTTCATGTTAGTTTTACTGTTTTGCAAGTTTTCTGAGCAAATAATTGTTTAATTAGACTATGTTGCACAGATTATGTGCCTTTTGTAGATTTTTAAACCTAACGTTACATGTATTTTTATAATATTAGTAACTGTAAAGGGGTTAACGTTAGTTACTGCTAATAAAATACTGTAAGCAAATTAGTCCTAATTTCTAAGTTAATGTGTGTCTCATAGCAACTAAAATGTACTTTTACTTTAGTTATTTTAACTTTTAATTGTGTGATTTTTAATGCTTTAAAGAGCAATTTTAGATTGTAATGTTCTGCTATCTAATCTGTTAACTATAAAAGGTACAAAGTTTTTTATTTTTAATTTGTATTATTTCTTCCCTAAGCAGTCGGGGCAGTGCTCGGTGGCTCCCTTGCGTCAATAAATGAGGTACGATGAGAGGCCGTTTGAATGACTGAATTTTAGATTGTGAGATATTTCAGAGTTTTGACCCTCAGGATTTCAACGCTCAGTTGATGCTGTGTGTGTTTCTCGGGCAGGTCGGCCATACACCTGAAGCGAGATTTCTTCCTCAGTCACGTGTCCAGCGCTCGCTCTGAGCTCTTCATCAACCTGCGGGAGGTGAGCTCACGCTTTCGTTTGCTGGCCGGAGAGGACATCGTGTTGTCCACTTTCGAGCCCAGCAAAGAGGGAGACTTCGTGCTCAGAGTTTTCTCAGAGAAACCAGCCAACTCACAGTGAGTCCTGCATTTTACAGCATGAAACCGCTATTAGTCGGAATTAAAAAATAAGGTTTGTTTATGGGGTCCAGAATTATTTTTCACTGGCCGTGCACATCTATTTTGCATAATTTTCTTAAAGGGATACTCCACTGTTTTTTGTTTTTTTTTTCTTATTAAACTGTTATTCCCTTAACCAAGACGAGTTGATGCATACCTCTCTCGTCTCAGTGCGTGCACGCGAGACACTTTGATAGCACATAGTTCAGCGCAGTTCATTCAATAGGGGCCAAGCAGAGACCAAACACCTCCACGTTTTCCTTATTTAAATACAGTTATACGAGTAGAGTAACTCGACCTAGGATGGTGACACAAAATAAAACGTTGCGCTTTTCTAATCGTGTAAAGTGGATAGCTATAATGTATGGCGGAATACCACAGCAAGTGCTTGGGAGCACTTCGACTCGGCGCATATATATCTATGGACTATCTATGGCGCAGTAATATCATATCATCATCACTCATGAAAAGTCCTCTCTCCCTATCCGGAGTGATGATATTACTGCGCTGAGGGAAAACGCAGAGTTGTTTGGTCGCTTCTCTGCTTGGACCCTATTGGATGACCTGGGCCAGTTAAGTGCGATCACAGTGTCTCGTGCACCAGAGCGTTTGAGCGCACGCACTGAGACGAGTGAGGTATGTATCAACTCGCCTTAGTTAAGGAATAACATAGTTTAATATGAAAAAACGGTGGAGTATCCCTTTAAAAAGACGATGAAAATTGCATTATTTATCTTTTTTAACTGTTACTGCAAACAGCGGAGCTCATGCTGTCACTCAAAGCATCATATCCATATTTTTGTTTTAGTTGAATCAAAAGGCATGTATATGTCTGAATCTGGCTTTCTAACTAAACTTTTAGTGATTTTTGATCCCCTGCCCAATAAATCTTGCTCATAAAAAAATGGTGAAAAACTGTTTAACAGTATAACTCCACCATCAAATATTATGTATTTCACAGTCTTTGTAACATGTTTAAACAATGCATTTCTAACATTTATGTGTTTACAATTCACAAATTTTCAAATTTTACTTTACACAGACTTTGACAAAACTAGAAGTAATTAAATTTTAATCGACCGTTTTTTTTTTTACAATCCCATTCCCACTGTGGGAAAGACCCAGCCCAATCAGCCCAAAATATTATATATATATTTTTAGACAATTTTCAAAATAGTTTTATCAGTGTCCTGTACTTTCTAGTTATGGCATATGAAATTCATACTTAATTTTTATAGATGGCGAACCATAAAAAAAATGGAGACGGCAAAATGCTTGCAATGACGCTTTCTAGTAGTGACTCAGAGGATCATTTTTTTGTTTCTGCCCAGGCTGGTGTTTGTGCAACCATCAGTTCTGAAAACCTTCTGAGAGAAGATTGTGCAGGAAGTATTGCTGACAGTAATCTTGAGAATCTTGATCTGGATGACCAACAGCACAGCAGTGAAAGTGATGACACTGAAACAGGCTCCTCTTCAGATGAAATCAGAGAGTTATGGAGTGATTTGGCAAAATGGGCGGTTCGGAACAAAACAACACGGACATCTGTAGATGAGCTCCTTTCTGTGCTGAGACATTGCCTGCCTAAGGATGCCAGAACACTTTTGGGGACTCCTCGCCATGTTGATGCACAGAATTTTGTGGTGGTATTTCGGTCTTGAGTCTAGGCTTCTGAAAGTATGTTCACAGTACCCAGAGAAAATTATGTTGAGAGAAAGTCATGTCCTTCTCAATTTTAACATTTATGGTTTGTCAGTGTTACGGTTTATGTATTTTTGGTCAAAGACTTAATCAAGTTTCCTAACGATATTTGTAATTATTTTTATAAGCTATTCTGTGAATGATTGCAGTGTGTATGAAATTTGAATGAAAAGCTTTTTCCCTCTGCAGTCTGAAATCATTAAACCCTTAAGAAAATGCTTTGTTGTTGAATGAGATTTTTTTTCAATACATTATGTGAAAGTGTAAAATGTACAATATAGATGTATATTTAGATTCTAAGGAAATGTATTTTTCCATTTGGTTTAATTATTAAACTTTTTCTTTAAAAAAATGAAGCATCTCATCCCTGCACTGTAGATATATGAACATCTAATTGTTACAACGTTTTTATGCTGTCCAATTGCAAATCATGCAAATTAAGTTTTATTAGTTGCTGAAAATACTAAATATGGTCCGAAAAAAAAGTTAACAGTTCAGTGTTGACCTTTAACCAAAATTACAGGAAGGCTACGCGGGTACAGGATTAAAATATCAACGCGGATTCAATCGAAAGGTGATTCAACGTCGACAGTAGACCATAACTTGAAAGGTAAGAGTGAAACGACGTCGCGATTTCAACGGTGAATCAACGTTGTTTCTTCCTCGGTGAAACGACGTCACAATATCAACATTGATCCGTTTTGCAAAATCGAAAGGTAATTCACCGTTGATCCAACCATGGTACCTGACGTTGTTTCAACGTTGAATCAACGTTGAAATGCCGGCTGGGTAGGCTATCAGTTATGCTATTTTGTGTCTACGACAAACGCGTACAAACATGAATTTTGTATAAGTACTAATGTTGTAAACGTATTTTTCATGTATATATGTTTTATGACGTTATTTTTGATTTGATCAAGAACGTAAACTTGCCAACGCTGTTTGAGTATGACATTAGTAGCCAGTCAGTTGCTATTGTTGCCAGTCAGATGCTATTGTGTTAAACGTGTATACAGTCAAAAAATTTAGCAAATTATCATTCAGAAACGTTTAGTAAGAGCCGTGTGTGGTGAGGTTCTGTTTGACTCTCTTCATCGCGGCTTTCTCGGTCTGATTCTGGGTTATACTGTTACTGCAGGTCGACGCATATTTACATCTGGACCGGAGCTCATGACGTTCCCATTTCGCCCGTAAAGGTAATGGGCGTTAACTTTCCGGAAAACGTAAGCGACAGTTTAGCCAATCACAACACACCGGGCCAAACTAACCAATCTGAGCCCATGAAGTGTTTCTGAGGGAGCGGTTTCATAGAATCAGGAAGTCAACCGCTCGTTCGACGACAGAGGAGAGCGCGGCTGACAATAAACGTGAAGTTTATGAAAAATAAGACGTTTAAAAAAGAAAAACCACGAATACATGTTGTATTGCACCCCATAAACACAATCATGCAAAGAAAAAAAGCTGTCAACCCCCCCTTTAACAAAAGTTTTTGTACACATATGACAGTAATAGTAATACTCAGTCTGGTTAGTAATAAGTAAAGCTGGTTTTGCTGTTTGTGGAGTAATGTTTAATAAAATAAAAAATTTAAAGTCTTTTATTTGCAGCTGATTTCATGTTGCGTGGTGTTTTAGTTGTATTTGTACACAGTTGTATTTGTGTTTCATTTTCTGAGAGTGCAAGCATGATGTTGAACTATCACAAAGTTACATTGATTTAATAGCTTATCATTACCAATTTTTTATAATGAAAGTTCAACACTATTTCAGCATTAATTGCAGGTATAACAGTGACGTTGATTCAATGCAGTTAACGTTGATGCAGTAACATGGTTTCAACGTTTTTTAATACATTTTTTACATTTCATATTGACATAACAGTATTGGTTATAAATTATTAAGATATAATATTAACACACACTATCTATTAATTAATATTATCAAGATCAGTGTTTCCCAATCTTTCAAAAAACTTTTCCTAATCAAACACGCACGATTCAACTCATCAGCTTAAGACCTGAAATATATAGATTAGATAAGGGAGACATCCAAAATGCATAGTATTGGTGTGCCTCCATGAGAAGTGTTGGGAAACACTGATCTAGATTAACAAGTGTTGTAAAAATGTTGACATTTGTGATGCCTAATGCATTATCTGCTGTTGACAAATGTAACCTTATTGTAAAGTGTTATCATTAAGCAATATTTACTTACCCATTAAGACAAGAAAAACTGTTAGCCAGTGCAGGTGCATGTTCATAGTGGAAAAAAACTCCAAGTGTCTAAGATACTTATTCTGTGTAGGATGAGCATTCACTCTTGAACAGTCAATCAAATGGTCATATTTATACACTGCGAGTGAGCAACACATTCTCACACCCAATCATAGGCGGGGCCAGGATATTTTGGTTTTTGTTTTTGCCTCTCTTGCCATTTACATTTTCTTTAAAACGTTTGGTTTGACTTTATTTTGATGGACCTTTTAACACATTCTGTTAACTAAAAGTAACGTTGCACCTACATGCCAATAGGAGCACCTGATGGGTACATTTAGATCAGGGATGGGCAACATCGGTCCTGGAGGGCCACTGTCCTACAGAGTTTAGCTCCAAGACTGAAAAAATCGCTTGCCGTGTGGGACATTCCAGCATGTTCAGGTGTGTTTGATTAAGGTTGAAGCTTAATTTTGTAGGACATTGGTTCTCCAGGACTGAAGTTGCCCATCCCTGATTTAGACGTTCATCATATGGGCTCACATGGTTTGCAATTGGGTGCTAATATGGCCAAGGTGCATTACACACAATAACCATACGGGACCCAGAATTGGGCCAATTGTAGGTAACACATTTTTAACAGCAAAACCTTTTGCCAGAGATCAGTCATTCTGAATTTTGTCATTCTGAAAATATATTCACAGTAAAAATGAAAGAGGTGCATACAGACATCAAGAATTAGCATGTGAATCTCAACAATGGTGACATGCAGAAATCCATGCTCCATAGTATCCATGTCACCATTGTTGAGATGCATATGCTGAATCTTGATATGTCTGCGTGTTGTTGACTTAGATGTCAAGGCGTGAGGAAGAGTTAACACAAAGCGTGTGATGATATCAAGTACTTCAAACAATATGCAGACTGGGGGATATTATGTCTAACTTTTCTGCCTTGTTATCCGTCTCATGACACACCCCATTCTGAAGTGGTTATTTGACTATAAAACTAGATCAATGTTTGACTTTCAGTGGAAACAAGGTATGGATATTTACAGAATGTAAGACTGGATAAACTGGAAGAGAGAGTGACTCTGAGAAAACAAAGGAAATTTGACATTTGGACTCTCGCAAAAATAGCATTCCCATCCGAGACACAATCACACTGAGTTGATCACCTAAGTATTGTCTAAATTTACATCTCATTCCCCATCTCTCCTCTCCACATGTTGAAAAGTCCTGAAATCCACCCAAAACCCTATATTAGGGGTGTCCAAACTCGGTCCTGGAGGGCCACTGTCCTGCAGAGTTTCGCTCCAACCCTGTCCCTGATAAACTCTCCTGCCTGTAGCTTTCTATTAATCCTGAAGACATTGATGAGCTGGTTTAGGTGTGTTTGATTAGAGTGCCAGATAGATATAGCAACCATAAAAATAATGTCAATGTGTCAATGCTAACTGTATTGAATCTCTTTTGCATCAGCAAAAAAAATTTTCCATTCATAAATTTCATCCATGAATCATTGGCTTTGAGTCAATGTTAAAATGTGATGTTGGTTCAACATCATGCCTGCACTCTCAGAAAATGAAACATAATAACTATAACTGACTTAAAGCCACACAGCCTGAAGTTAACTGTAAATAAAAGAAGACAATAAATATCTTAAGATCTGTTTTGTTTTTTGGCAATAAAAATGGCGATAAAGGTTTTTAGAGTTTAGAGATACTTTGTTCACTGCGGTGGAAGTGCCCTTGTCCCCCACAGCAAAATCCCCAGTGTTAAATTAACACTCCTGGTGTACATATGGGTCCAACTACAGGGTGTTAAAAATGAACACTGAAGCAGTGTTGAAGTTAATGAGGCCGAAACAATGTTGCTATCTGGGGTTAGATATTACACAACAACTGTATGAATGAATTTATGAAAAAAAATAATAAATAGGGCGAATGAACTTGTAGGCCTAAAGAAACTATTCTTATGAATCTGCTTTCTACAGAAGAGCATGACACTCGAAACCTGCTCAAGGGTTTTGCACTATTTTTGAATCTGAATATGGAAACGAAGCCTCTGACATCACATGGTTATGGCAAAACGAATCAAGCTCTGATACACTGCATCATGTGATGTTACAATTTTCTTTATACAAGCTTTGAAGTCTTTTTGCCAAACGTCGGATCAGTAGCTTGTTGTGCACAAAAACAAACAAAAATAACGACTTAATCAGACAGAGATCTCTTTTTCATGCGCTATTCGCGTAGTAAAGTAAACGCATATCAGAGTTCCAAGATTAGTGATTGAAGTCATTATTTTTGTTTAAATATGTTATGTTTTTTTCTAAATTAGGAGAGTAAATATATGGAGGAAGTGTAAAGAGATAGTGGAAGTTTATGTTAATGTTTAATCTTCAGTTGGACATTTAGAGGGGTTTCTGTTATTGGATTTTTTGGTTACTATTGTGCTGATTTGTAGTGCTGTCAATTGCGATTTATACTTTGATGCAACTCAATGTGTTTGATAACCACAAATTACATTTTCTCATTGTAATTGCAAGGGAGAAGTAGTGCATGTGTTGAATGTGTCCACCTTGAGCTTGAATGGATATTGTCTGGGTCAATGTAACTCAATTAAGTTAAATCAACATTGTCTTGTGTTATGTTACATCAAATTGATAGAAGTAGCTCACAACAACAAAATTATAACTTGTAGGTAGAATCAGGAAGAAATACCTCTTTAAAGGGCACCTATTATGCCCTTTTTTACAAGATGTAATATTGGCCCCTGAATGTAGTTGTGAAGTTTCAGCACAAAATACCCCACAGTTAATTTATTATAGCCATTTGAAAATGTCATTTTTGGGGCCTGTTTTAAAAAGAGCTGTTTTAGTACATACGACCTTAAATGGAATTGAACTGCATATCCCCGCCCTGCCTTTGGATGAGGGTGTCACTTGCATACCTATGGCAGTCGGTCTAAGCAGAATGGCTGAGAGTGAGAGACCCACTGTTTTGAATGTCTTTCAGCCGTACATGTTTGAATTGGAATATATATATATACTATTTATATAGTCTCTGATCAGACCCAGATGACGAAGAGACTCCGGCAGAATAAACACAAATGAGAATGGACCAGTACGTCTCGGTATGGTTATTTGATACATTTATATTTATAGAATTGAAATTGCGTCCCCTTTGAAATTATGGAGATGGAAAACACACACATAGACACACACAAACACTAACGTTGGCGCAATTTTTTGAAACTACAAACACATACTGTGATAAAGTTTGCTACGTACAAGCGAAATTACATTTATGTGAGGGACCTGTTGCGTCATGTTTACTTGTCATACAGGTGCTTCTGTGGCAAATGTGAGAAGATGGCTAATGTAACAAAACAAGAACATATATGCAGTTTTTAATACAATATCTTTAAAAATCTTTAATCTTTATATATATTTACAAACGTGTGGTTACACACTATACAAACAAAGTTTAAATTATATACATAGACATCCTACGACGACAATGACAACAACTTTAGACGCATTTGTTGTTGAATTGGCTGACATCGACTGAAATGACTATTTCCTCAAAAGTCATAAAATACACTTACTGTTATTGGAGGTGTTGTTGGACCGCGAACAGTAGATAACGATCCACACTTGAGAATTAACTTTGAAACAAGACCTACTTTCAATTGACCCTCGTTTACAAAACAGTCAGTCAGAAAATGATTTGCTCAAACAAACTTATTTACGAAGGAAAGGCGCCACTTAAACTTCCAAAATACAATACATCCAGTGTGTTTTCAGTGGCTCTGATGTCGGAAGTAAGTGAAAACTACTGTATGTATGTCCTTATTACATCCCATCCCAGAATACTTCTAGCCGACTTTACCGGCTGTTGTTGAAACAATGGAGGATGGTGTACAGATCACCGAGGGCGGGGTCTATACCACAACCACACTGTCAATCAAACCCCTTGCTCAATTCTACGTCACAAAGAGCTGAATCTTAGAACAGCTTGTTCTGAGACAGTGGATATGATTTATTGAGATTTTAAAAAAACCACTAAGTGGATTTTTATCATTCTAGGGTGGTTTTGCTCACACATAACACAAAAAGTGGATCATTGCAATGTGTGATTGCAACCCCTTCAAACACAGGCAATAAAAAAAGGATTCATTTTATAAAAAAAAGTTACATATAGGACCTTTAAGAGATCTTCATAGACTCTCACTCCTAAGCAGATTTGGAGGTTTGGCCGATCACTCACTTGAAACGCACACACAAACTTATCGTGACTGCTCTGTTTACTCAGTTTAACATCTAAAGGGTGGCACCGGAACATTTCTGGAAGCACACAACATTATGGGAAATGAAGACCTGTTATTCTGTTGTTATATTAAGGTTTATTCATTCTGCAGACAGTTTTATTCAAAGCAGTTAATGAGGAACATTACAAACAATCTGTTGTAAGAGCCAATAGTATTAATAATAAAAAATGGCAAGTTTCAAGTAAAAGCTTAAATAATGCAGAAGCTAAGATTTACTGACATTTTTTGGACTAACAGACAGTAGCCAATAGTTAAAATGAAGATTAGTCTACAAAATGTATTATGGCCAATTACATTCTGACCATGAAGTTTTTTTAACCAAATGAACATAAAAAAAATTCAATTTAGTGTATAAAAACCTGTCAGACATAACCTAAAAATAAGATTAGAATCTACCAAACTGATATCTCATGATGTTTTACAAAAACAGGAAAATACAAAACCTGGACTCCTTAGAAATTGAATCAAGTATCAAGGATGTGTTTCACATATCATCAATGTTATTTCCCCAATATCAAAATACTAATAAAAAAAAAACATTTATTTTAACTTTATAAATAACAGGGGGGGGGGGGGGGATAAATAACAGGCAATCTAGCACTGAAATGTGTTGTCTTCTCTCGGAAACGCGCTTCAATCCGTTGCGGAGATTCGTTCCGGTGAAATAATTTTTTTTTTTAAATTCTCACAAACTTGTCCCTGTTTCTCATGGGTTCTAATCCGCTCTCGTATATTTTTTTCCCCCTCATCAAATCATAT